GGGTTTCACGCTCCTGGGCGAGGCTCCAGGGAATTCCAAACCCTTCCTTCTACTGCCAACTGGTCTAAGGAAAACCTAAGGAAGCAAAGTCATTTTCCCGTGGGAATACACAGGATGTGTTATAGGAAACTCTGACCTCTTCCAAACTACTCATGCAGTGCACAACACTTGATATCACCTGGAAGCCCCACACCCAACCTGAGCTTAGTTCAAGCTTTCACCCAAAAGATGACACCTGATGTGAGCAGGTGATGTAAAACTCCTCCAAGAGAGATGACAATTTTCTGTCAGTGCCTTTTCCCCTCGGGAATTCCTGGCTTGGAGACAGGGGTACCTCCACCCTGCCAAGCCCCTGATCTGCACCTGCATGAGCACGGGAAGCACAAGGCAAGAGGCAGCAGGAAAGCAGGTACCTGGACCTGGTAGTCCCACTGGAAAAGGCAGAAAGACAAGGGAGATGTGCATTTCACACTCTCCCTTTAAACAGATTGATGTCTCAGGAAAATTGCTTTACGTAGCTCAAGTGAACAAGGCTCTGTAAATATTTACTGCTGAAACACAGCAGCCTCTGGGCTCTGTGTGGGTCTTTGCTTCAGAGAAAAGGAGACAGGTTTGCTGTTACAGACTCCCAGGGTGCCCTAACGCTTGGGTGGGGGACCAGAAGGGCCACCTCCCCTTAAAAAGGCAGATCTGAGCAAAACCTGAAAGCAGCACGTGCCTTTCTGCTGCTTTAGCTTTCCAAGGGATCCTCGCTCAGTGCTGGGGCGAGAACGATCCCAGCTCTCGGGGTGATGCCAGAGCCAACACTGCATTTTAGGTTATTGGTCCAAATGAAGTGTCCTCTCTAACCATCAACCCCCTACAGCTCCATCACACCTACACAAACCTCACAAAGGTGCAACCAGGACTCACCCCATAACAGAGGGATGAAGGAACCCATCCCACTTTAAACCAGACATCAGCAGGTTTTCCTGAGACCTCCCTCAAAGGCTGGGCAGCAACACCCCCAGTCTGCATCCACAGTGTCTCTAAGAAGAACATAATTTATTCACAAATCTAGGGCAAAAGACACTCCAGGTGATGCTCAAAAATCTCTTTCCAAAGGAAAAACATTGAAAAATAATAAAAATAAATCAGTGTGCTCAAGTGAGACATTTTGCAGACACAGTTTGAAGACACTTGCTTTTCTTCTCAGAGACACCCAAAATCATTTCCACTTTGACACTTCAAGTCATTTCCAGTTTGCATGAGTCAGACTGGTGCTTTTGCCACCTCATTTCTTACATGACTGTCTTCTGCTTGTGGGAGCTTGGAATCCACCACCTCACTCTGTTAGTCCACCCACAACAAAAACCAGTGCACATTACCTGAACTTCATTAAAAACATAATCAGTTCCCCCAGCTTACAGACATGTGCTGTATGATGTCACCTCAGCCTTTTTCCTCTATTTTTTAAATTAAATTGGGTTTCATTCATTTATAGTTCAAGAAAAGATAACCAACCCACTTGCAAAGTGATATATAAGGTCAACAGGCAAGACTGGAGGTGTGCAGTGACGAAGAGCCAAGGCCAATCCTTCATATAAACGTGATAAACTGAGTGGACTCTGTCACAGCCCTACAGAAATGCTCTGCTCCACTGGGAGATCTCAGCACTGGCTCACTGTGTTTCCAATCCAAACCCCCCCCCACTGCAGAAGGGGATGAATGTGAGGAATGTGTGAGGGGAGAGAGTTTGGATCAGCCCTGCCTGGAGCAAAGGCAAACCCACCCGTGGGACTGGTGTTGCTCAAGGACTGGGTGCACTCGGTGGGCGATGCAGAGCGATGGGGAAGCACCTTGTGGAGATGGGATTTTTGGGTGAGAACAGTCTGTGCTGAATTGCAAGATACTGGCTGCTGAATGACACTGCCACTGTGTGCCAGAACTGCCACGGGCAGTGAGGATGAACTGCTCCAGATGCACCAGTCCTGAGCTCCTGAGGAACCAGCTGACAGCACACCAGCCCTCCTGCCCCTGGGTGACATCCAGGACGGAGAGAACCCACAGCCATGGACTAAATGAACTCATAAGGGGTGGAGAACGCCATGGTTCTGCCCAGGAGTGTGTCAATTTTTGCAGTAGCCAGGAGGGGCACGGCCAGGACACTGAGGTTGTTCTGCACCACCTCACCTCATGGCTGGGGGCAGGGACTCTCTTGCTCACAAGCCACCAGGAACACTCCCGGTGCCACCACAGTGCCTCACCCAGCAAGCCTGGAGATGGACTTTGATTTGTGACTAACATTTATACCAATGTCTGTCTGAAAACGTTGGATTTTCCCAGAAACACACCCCCCTTCTTCTGTTTGCCTACAGGTCATCAGGGCAGAAGGCCTCAGGCTTCTTAAAAAGGTCTTCCTAAAGGTTTGTGGGTTTAGTGCCACACTGACCACTGGCTGCTGGGAAGAGGGGAGAGCACAGGGCTGGAATGAAAACACAGAGAACACACATCAAATGTTTAACTTGCTGAGATTTCCCAGTGAACTGGAGTAACCAGCTGTGAAGGGCTGGTCGTGCTGCTTGGCATTGGAGAGGAGAAACGGACGGAGGGCTGTGAGAGCAAAGAACTGAGAAATTAAAGACACGCCATGATTATAAAACAGTCAAACAGTGTCAAGAGCATCCAGCCAACTTGGCCTTGAATTTGGAACCTGTGTTGTGACAATCCTTCCTCACTACACAGGGAAGCCGCAATCCCCCAGT